GATTTTTCTTGGATTGATTTGATCCTGGTTTTTTTACTCATATATTTCTTTGCATGTTCCTCTTCTGTCACTGTCTTCATTCTTGGTTCCTTTTTTTTTTTTTTTAAAGGTAAGGCTTCAAAAATTCAAAACTTTAGTTGGGTGCCAGTGGCTCAAGCCTTTAATCCTAGCCACTCAGGAGGCTGAGATCTGAGGATCAGGGTTCAAAGCCAGCCCAGGCTGGAAATTTCATGACTTTTATCTCAGATAAACCACCAGAAAACTGGAAGAGGTGCTGTGGCTCAGGTGGTAGAGAACTCACCTTGAGCTGAAGAGCTGAGGGACAGTGCCCAAGCCCAGAGTTCAAGCCCTATGACAAAAAAATAAATTAAACTTTGCTATAGGGTTTGTTAGGGTATTTTTCTTTCTTACCATTTTTGTTTATGCAGTTGTGAAATACTGCTTTTCAGGTTTGAAGCTACCAAGTTTGTGATAAAGTGGCTTTGTAGGCATGAGAATCCAAAGATGCAAACCATGGCAGTGAGCATCACCTCCATTCTCGTCTTGCAGGTATGAAATGGCTACAGTTAAGACTTTTTCCTCCTTAGTCTGAACTAAAGCTTGGACATTTCACTTTTGATTTTCTGTTTGCTTTTAGCTATTACCTGGACAAACCTCACAACTTCAAGAAGAACTCCTTATGGCAGTTAAGGTGAGTTTAATTGACTGTCACTTTTTATAGCACCCCCAAAAATCATCACTCATGTGAATGCAGCTTAAAATATTAAAGACCTATTTAAATGAAAAAGGCCTTAAAGGACTTGCTTTCCCTAGGAATCTACTCTTAGGCTGGGTGCTGGTGGGTCATGCATGTAATCCTAGCGACTCAAGAGGCTGAGATCTGAGGATTGCAGTTCAAAGCCAGCCCGGGCTGAAAAATCTTTTTTCTTTTTTTTGGAGGGGGGGTCTGGTCGTGGGGCTTGGGCGCTGTCCCTCAGCTCTTCAGCTCAAGGCTAGCACTCTACCACTTGAGCCACAGCGCCACTTGCCACTTAAGGCTTTTTTTTTTTTCTGCTTATGTGGTGCTGAGGAATCGAACCCAGGGCTTCAAGCATGAAAGGCAAGCACTCTACCACTGAGCCACCTTCCCAGCCCTGAAAAATCTTTGAGAGACTCTCACCTCCAATTAACCACTAGAAAACTAGAAGTGGTATTGTGGCTCAAGGTGGTAGAGCACTCGCCTTGAGCTGAAGAGCTGCGGGACAGCACCCAGGCCCAGAGTTCAAGTCCCATGACTGACAAAAGCATCTACTCTTAGAACTTTTCTTTTGACATTTACCTCTACAGTTCTCATGCCTATAATTGTACCTACTCAGGAGGCTAAAATCTGAAGTTTGAACTATTCGGGGAAACCAAATCCTAGAGACTCTAATCTTCAATTAACCAGCAAAATGCTGGTAGTGGAGATGTAGGTCAATTGGTAGACCACTAGCCTTGAGTTAATAAGCTAAGGAAGAGTAAGAGTTCAAGCTCTAGTACTGCTGTAGTGGATATACGCATGAGCACACAAGCTCTCTCTTGCACTCTCTCGCACTCTCTCTCCCTCTCCCTCTCCCTCTCTCGCCAGGAAGCCTGTGGTTCTTACCTGTAATTCTAACTTCTCAAGAATCTTAGAGGCTGAAAGCCAGCGCCAGTAGTTCACGCATGTAATCCTAGCTACTCAGGAGGCTGAGATCTGAGGATTGGGGTTCAAAGCCAGCCTGGGCAGGAAAGTCTGTGAGACTCTTATCTCCAATAAACCACTAGAAAAACTGGAAGTGGCCCTGTGGCTCAAG